GCTGTAATTTTCGCACCCCCGTAAGAAGCTGGTAACCCTCCTGTCGCCGAAATTACGTCCGTTTGTGCGCGATTCCGCGCGCCAATCAGACGCAGCCTCATTTTCCGAGCACGAGAGCGATCGCGATAACGAGTAGTCAAGTCGATCGGCCGGTGCTGTTTCCTATTGAGCCTCTTGTATGGGGTGAATTCGGGAATCAATCTCACCCTTTGCGTCGAACTTCTTTCGCGAGGAGGCTCGCAGACGTTATTAGAGTCAACGATCTCTAAAAAGGACCTGGTTTCATGCTTGTTATTTATTTTATAATTTAACGTATTTGTTAGCAAGTATAAAACGATTGGAACCCCCTTCGATTAATTTATGTTTATACTCGAAATAATGAGTATTATTATATACCTTAACCCACTTTGCACCCCTGTTGAAATTAATTAGAATTTTGTGAAAATATTGTCCAAGTATAACGCAAGAAAATGGAAACTACGAATTCTCGTTCTCCCCTACACGAGAACTCCAAATTTCATTTCATGTTTATCCTCGTACAAACGTAACGCGCTGCTGAATGGGGCTTCGGTTCTCAATCTCGTCTGGGAAGGGATGTGCTTGGAGATTGATCATTTTGACGGGAAAAGCGACAGGACCCGTGGACCGAGTTGCGGGAACGAGCAATTATATCGTCGCATAGGAGATTCGCATGCACAATTACGCGAACAACCGGGACGGAGGTCTGTCGAAGACATTTCGATTAACTTCGCCGCGGGAGCGTTCCGACCTTTCTTTCTACGAATAGTCAGCATCCGGTGCGAACAACTCGTCCCGACGAGTCCTGCAAAATTAGACGTTGGATCGAAAAGATGGAAACCGAATCGAGGGCAACAGATGCCATCCTCTTCGAGCTTCAAACTTCATCGAAATGCCGGAGTTAGAATCTAATCTTTTTTATGTACCCGAGGAGTTCCGACAACGAACATTACGAAGTCTACTATGCTTTCAGACGTCTGAAAGTTTCTCATTTTGTCGCGACCCGAAGACGAAGAAATATCCTTTGTGTCCTCTCTGTTCTTGGAAGAAGACGTTTTCCTTTCTTCTTTCCCTTCCGTGGACGTTTCGTCTGCCATGCCATTGTCCCCTTCGAAATGAGAAAGCCTCTTGATATAAAAAATCAACAATCGTCTCGTCACAGAGATCTGCCAGCTCCCTTTCAATTTTTTTTTTTTCGATCGAACAGACTCTTATCGAATGAAGCGGCTTTGAAAAAGCGACGATATACTGTAGATATACCTTTTACTTTTCTGACTCACACCGCCATGATTCTAGGTATTTCAATTAATAACCCTTCAACGTGACAGACCTGACAGTTGGCGTACTGTGAAATTAACCGTTGGAGACGGTAATATCGCCTGATAGCGGAAACAGCCCTTTCCGGTCTACTCTTCAAAAATTTCAGAGTCAACAGCGCGTTACGACTCAACGAATGGTGAAGCCGTTAGAACGGAATTTTCATAGCGTAGACAATTGGAGAATAGAGAATGTGCGTACAATTGAAATATTTAAAAAGCCACTTTCCATAATTTTATATTCATAGAGTAACGTATTTCTCTTTGCCTTGACTCTCGGATCAACATAAATTAAATTTACGATTTGGCTACTCTTTCCCGAGTTTATCGACAAAATTTCTGAAGGTGTCAGCGATAGCTCGATCGCGGTCTGAACTCGCGTAGAGCGCATCAACCGTCAGAAAATGGCCCTAATCGATACGAAAACTGGCCGCCGCGGCGCTCGTCCTCGCGTCGTAGCCCCGAGACACGCGTGGGCGTGCGCGCACACGAGCGCGCTCCGAAACAAAAAAAGGCGCGCGCGGAACAAAGGGGCAGAAAGGAGCTACAAAGAAATTAGAAAAGAAAAAAGGGGGCTCGAAGTCGTCGGGGAACAGGCAGTAACAGAGCAAGGGACGAAGGAACTCGCGGTGCGAGCGAGTTGGATCGAGAAGCGGAAGGAGATTCGCGAGACGAAGCGAGACGAAGAGAGTAAACGTCGGAGTGGCGGAGGGACGAAGGAGTAGGAGGTTGGCGTGGGTGTCGATGGGAGAGGGGGGAGTGAAAGAAGAGGTAGAGAAAAGAGGAAGAAAGCCCTGGCACTCCCACACAAAAATATCACCGTTAACGATTACCAACCCCTCTTTTCGTCCCGCGCTCGTTATATTGTGTCCCCGCCGCGCGCGCAAATTTAGAAACAAAAGACGGGTGGAAGGCGCGGTCTGATTGGCCGACCGGTCCGCGACTCGTGTCTCTGATTGGCCCGCGGGACCGCACCCATCCTGCAATGGCCGCTTTGTCGTTTCACGCCGCCACTTCTCTCTCTCGCTCTTCCTCTCTGTGTATACGCGCCTGCACGCTTCAGCCGCGAAGCTTCAACAACCCCGTGAAGCGCGACTCGACCGTACCCCTTCCCCTACTCTGTTATACGAGTCTCTCTTTCGCACGTTTCATCCCTCTTTCTCCGCCTAACCGACGCGTCTTCGACACGCTCACCCCCGAGCGTTTCTTCGCCACCCCTAGCGTCGACTCCTCCAGCGGTTCCTTTGCCACCTTTGCTTCGCGGACCACCACCGCCAACCCTCGAATTATATCAAAATCTAATCAACGACATACGTGCACGGCCCTATGTCGCGATTGTTGGTGCGAGTTCAACGAGTTACTTTAAATAATCAGCCGGAGTATCTTTGTCTCACTAATTTCAAGAATCGAGTTTCGAATTTCTGGTTGTAGGAGGGGTAGAAGTAGAAGACTCAAAACGGGAGGTAAATAGATAGCTATTAGGCTAGAGTTAACCTCTGGTTCAACCCTCGATTCTTCGCCACCCTCGACGTCACGCGGTCCTCCTTTGCCCTCACTCTTCAAATTATTTTCAAATATTTTTCTTGGTTCTCTATACCTTGCTTGCACTTTATCCCACTATAATTATATAATTTTAGCGTTAGTGTAGGCTTCTGATAGTTCGTGGTCTCGCGAGGGGGTGATTGACATGTGTTTGGAACAGACTGGACGAAATCGAGTGAATGTTTAGAAGGAACGGATTCCTGGAATGCATGTAAAGATTTTGGAGTACTGAGCACCATCGTTTTACATTCAAGCTCCAAAGAGGTGCGAATCATGTACAATTTTTATTTCTCCAGCACTTGCTCCACCATGACGCTCAGCTCCTCTATTAGTATCACTCCTAGCTCACTCTGCCTACCAGCACGTCCTTAAAATTGTTATCCATGCCATGAACCTTTCCAAGGCCAATGAATTCATCTATCCATCGCCCTCTTTAACAGGACACGCTCGGACCGCACGCATGTCGCTCGAGGAAGGAGGCACTGGCGCGAAATACCAAAGAGGAATAGAGGCAGAGTGAACGCTGCGGGGGCGGAGGGTCGAATTCGCGATGAGAGGAAGAGAAATGAGGAACAGGAGAGAGAGGGAAGCTTGTCCCGGGTCCGCCATGCGGAAACCTATCTCGGGCTATGTAGTACTCTACGAGTTCGCGGTAACTAACCGTCAGCCCGGGAAAATTCTCCCTTTATGGTCGCGCCTTTTGGTCCTGCCACTCTCCACCCCCGAGAACGAACCGCCGTACCCCTGCCCCTTTCATTTGCGACTGTTCTTTCGCCGCTTTATGCCGAGCGTCGATAATTCTGCGCGATATCGTCGCGAGATCGGCTGAGTTGCGATTCGCTAGTAGTTGGAGGAGGAGCAATGGGTCGTTGTGTCGTCGCTTGTTGCGTTGGAAACAAGATTGCATTGGTAAGATTCGCGTCGGAGGAACGAGTCGTTGAGCTGCCACTCGGGTTGGGAAAGAGACTTGGATGTTCGCGACGCTATCGCTGAAACGTTGAGCTATCCTTTCTGGCACTTGTCGATTTAAGAGTTGGCCCTCTTTGACGTCTCGTAAAGTCTTAATTCGTTAATTATTTGCACGATATTGCATAATTAGTTGCTGTACGGAGATATTGTAGGAAGAAAATCGAGTCGGCGCACTATCGATTGATGCATCGCAATCAGGAAGTGAATTAATGTATTACAACGTTGAAAATGAGCAGCTTTTCCGCGCTCATTATATTGACGATGTATGAAGGTATAAAATTAATTGCTCGGCAATTTACACGAACGCAACCAATATCAAATGCGTGCTAATTGATAATAATTCTCTTTGACGAATAAACGCAGTGTTAAATCTGCTTGCAAAAGCCTCTTCGCCAGTGTAATTCTAGGACCGAATTATCAACGACAGAACGACGGACATTTTAATTGCGTAAAAACATATATCGCAGCTTTATATTTTCGTATTATTATCCCGTACAGCGTGATTAATTTTCAAAAGAGCGTGTAACGTTGTTAATTCTCGTTAAGGACAAAATTACCGACAACAGTGCGCTGCGGTTTTAACAGCGAGTTATACTTAAACCCACGTGGAGGCAAAGTGTCCCCCTGACTATACGAGAACAAAAGCTCTCGACGTGCTGGCAAATGAGCTTGGAAAATTCGCGTTACGCGTCTTTCGAAATTTCGTGCTGCCAACAATTGAGAAAGAAATCGCATTGTGCGGCGATTTAATAGGTGAACGATGGAAACGTTTTTCTCTCATTCAAAACGAGCACTTTTGTTTCGCACACTGCCAACTCAGAGCGGAAAATGGACCAATTTAGTGGCATCTACTTCACGATTTTACGTTTGCTCCGCCCCATCGCGATTCACTCGTGAATTCATTCCAAATACAAATACTTTTCGTAAAGACTTCTTTTTGGAATCATCGACCCAGCGGGTAAATCGATTCGCAAAGAAGTCAACGGCGAAGAAGAATGGTATCCTTTGACAGGCTCGATGGGTTCACGGGTATCGAGACGAAGAAACTCGATAGCTCTGAGTCGCGAATTTCACAAGGGGGTCGTTGGTGTATCGAGGCTCCCTGATTCGTAGGTCGCGTGGTCGGATTTCATAGGTCTTTTGATTTTCGCTCACCTGTATCCTGTCTTCGGGCAGATCGGTTCGGAGGCTGAGCATCTCGCGAGCATAGACGTCGGGATAATGGGCTTCCTTGAAGGCTGCCTCCAGCTCCTCCAGCTGTTGCGACGTGAAGATCGTCCTGGAGCAACAACCGTATGAACCTAGTTATATGCCATTACAGCTTTTCCCTTAAAGCTAGCCTACACACGATGCCAAAACAACCCAAGAATCGGTAATCGCGCTCGTACGTCTCAATTTCGCATTTATACTACTGAATGTGCAATCTACATCGACTATTATATTTTAGAAAAAACTGTACACGAATTGGTCGCTATTGACAAACTTTACGATGTGTTTCTGTCTGAAATTTCAGCACTATTCGGTACGTTAACGTGCGAGATAAGAGGAAATAGTTATGCTAATAATATACAGCTTATGATAGACATTAACGTATCGAAGAGCGTTCAAATTTTTAATCACCTAAAACAAAAAAATTAGGAAGACTTGTCGACAGGCTGTTGAAAAATAAATTATCGAGAACTATATACAGCGTACACAAGGTATAGCAAATAGCTTATAGGAACCGGAAATCATAGCAGAAATTGAAATGTGGAAGTTCGAAATACGTCGAGAAATAAATTCATCGATCACGGCAAACATAAAATTCCATATATTTTTTAAAGTGGGGCTTGCATTGGACGAATAAACGCCAATGGAGCTACGCATTTTACAACGAAAAATCCGCACTGCGACAAACATTCATTCGACCACGTTCACTGGAAAAACGATAATTCTTCGTTTCCTAGCGTGACAGCAATAATGTTTAATCCTTTGATTCTTGCGTTAATATATTCCAGAAGTTAGGTACTCGTCGAACGTGACATTCGGAGTACTCGGAAGAATGACGAAAAATTGTAAACACTTGAGTGGCAAAATGAAGCAAATTTTATTTTATAATTTTTTAACGAGCAGTTTGAGCCGAAAATCGTCCGTCCAACGTGCAATTATCGAACGATGATTGCATTCGGATTGTCTGTCATTTGAAAATGGCCGAAAACTCGTTACCAGGGGACTCGTAGATTGCACGATGAAAAGTTTAAAACGATACAGTCGGTCCGAGGGATAAATTTATCATTATCGAAAACGAAAATTCACCGAAACGATTACAATTGTTTCCCGGACACGATAATTAATCCAGAATGCGGAAGAATAGCGTTTGGGGCTTCATCCAAAATTTTATGGACGATTATCAATTATTCGCGGGCCTCGCTGTAGAACTGATTTTAGCCACGAATTTTTGGCGGGGACGCGAAATGAAAATCAATGGCGGCCACGGGTGCAGCAAGAGACACGCGCAACAGAGGATGGTGAACTAAATGATTCATTGCTGTGGTTCGCGTGAGATACTCACCTATGACGGCGCTTCTTCTTTTTCTTTTTGCTGAAGCCAGAGAGACCGTCGACCGTGAAGTCCTTTCCTGAATCTATGTTGTGCCCGACACCTGCAACAGAACCATCAAAGTTAATGGCACTCCATGACACAGTGAGTTTTATTTAAATTTGACAGGCATTCAACCCTCAGCATCTATTCTTTTGGTTCAATCTTTCATGTCTCTATTATCTACGTCTTAGAAAAGAATGAATCTTCTTCCTTCGCTTTACTCATTTAATTTTAATCATAACTCTTGTGATATATAACGTGTAATTAATCTTCTCCAACCTCGTCTAACTCTGTCTTATATCTACGTTTCCAAAGTTCGATTTTATCTTTCTGTCGCTTGTAAAATATTATTCCGAGTCGTTCCTCATTTTTGTTCTACGTTTTGGGGGCAACTTCTGCGTTAACTAACGGGTTTCAATGCTCCAGCGTATTTTCTTCCATCAAAAATTTAGTTGGTTAGGGAACGGCAGCGTTCGCATTGGGCTCGTAGCTCATTATTTCATAGCACTGGCTGTAAGTGATAATTATACACGCCGCTTTGTTCGAACCGCGCGCGTACCTCGCGGATCAAATTACCCATTATACCTGACTTGCCAATGAATTGAAACCACGCGTATATCCGCGCAAATTACGTCCAACGAGTGTTTCGTTGGTCCAGCCGCTGGTTTCGTTGATCTCCCTTCGTGAATATTTAACGTTGATTAGAGTATTTCCTACCTGCTCGCGAAACTACTCTTCTTTAATTACTCTTTTCGCAAACCTCGTTGTGTAATTAAAGACAGAAGTATTCGTAGATGCTCCTTCTGCAATTACTTGAACAAGTTTATACGTCTTGACGACCGAGAGTTGTCTTTGAAATTGTTTAAATTCGAGGTGAACGTGTAAGGTAACTTGACTTTCGGTTCTATTTATTAGAACTAATATAATATTTTATATAATTAATTTTTTTATGAGAAATGTAGTCAACTTTCGACAGAAAGTGCGATTAGAAAAAGTTGGCGTAGTTCGGTACGTAATATCCGGTGGTTGAGATCGACTGTCGTAACGTGGACTTGACGCTCGATATTCCGTGGAAAATTCGTGGAAAATTGATCACTGGTAACGAAATTTAGTGTTGGTCGATGTAGCACCCGTCCAACCGCTCGGAAAATAGAGAAGAAACATTCTACAGGGAGGAATAACGAGCCACGGGACTCTGTTGGTGGCTGGTTGCAGGCAAAGTCGAGTTAAAATTATCCAGGTGAACGTTCTTAATAACAAATGAATGCTACTGCTCTTCCTATTAAAGAAACCTCTCTTCCGTTAATAAGAGTATGAAAATGTTACTGATATAGTATCAAATCGTGGTACTCCACTTTTTTCCTCGTCTATTACTTGTCCAGAAATAAAAACTGTCAATTTCAGCGAAAAAACCGTGCTCGCCAATTAGCAGGCAGACGCAGAGGGAGGGGAAGGGTAACATTTTTCCCGTTTACTCGTTTTACTTTTTTCAGAACACGTTGCTCGCGACTCGACCAGCCGTGCGTGCGTACGCGCGCGTGCTGCGTGTAAATGGCAATTTTCCGCGAGCAACGAGAGGCGGGGAATTAGAAAAGTTCGTCGAGCGGGCAGGACCCGTGGCCCGAAAATAATTATCAATTATAAATTAATTTCGAATTAACGAGCGAAAGCCTGCTCCGTGGCGCGCGCCGCTCCACAATGAAGTCCTCCCCCTGAGGCTAACTCGTTACTACAGTTGTTGCTGTCGGTGCCAGCCGCTGGTGCTGCCACTACCGGCGGCTAATTAACTATTAATTAAGAGCTTAATTCCAATTATACGTGTCCTTCGACTAATTGGACCCCGAAACGCATTGCTGACGTCACGCGCGTACGGCTACGCGCGCGAACCTTTCCACCCCGTCGTCCTACTTCTTCTGGGAAATTATTTCCACCTGAATCAGGCGCTGCACGCTGGTACACGGCATCCCTAGGTGCTGTGACTGCGTGACTACCATCGTAAATGTGATTTAGCAATTACGATATGACAGAGAATTTGGCAGGATTGGTATGGAACTTTTGGGCCAGTAGATGAGTGGATTTATTCACTTTTATTTCTGTAAATAAGTGGAAATATATGTACTCTATTTGAACAAATTTATTTTAATTATGAAATACCAAAGTGCATCAACTGTCCCAGTAATAAGAGGAATTTTTCTCATTTTCATCTCTGTCGTATCTCCCTGAGTAAAAATTTAGATAAAATGATAAACTAAAGTTAAAGGGGACCCCGCATGGCAAAAAGCTTCCAATTTAAGTGCAAAAGTGACGAAAGTTTTTCAAAGCATTTGTCCACGAGTATGAATTTTGCACATCTCTGATCTGCAAATGCAAACGCACCTTAACGGGGCTCGCGGTTAGTTGAACGCGAGGGAGAAGCCAGAAGCTCGCTGCCACATTTAAACGAAACGGGAGACGATTCGGTACGGAGCCATTTGAAGGAACGCTTTCAGAAATTTTGAGAATTCATGGTGACTGGTATGCGTGCAATTAGAGAGATGGCTCTTAGGAATTTTTCACGCGTGCTTTTTGTGTTTTTGGACGAGCGAAGGGTCGCCCGTTTACGATGATTTCTCTTTGATGTCTTCTGAGAAACACTTTGAAGTTTCTACCTACGTTTTATTGTGTTTGAAAAAAACCATCTCGTGGGGATTTAAACGCGAGTCAATATATCTTAATGTTGGCGAATAAAATTATGTTCGTTGGTCAAACAATTCAAAAAGCCTCGCGTCTACGTTAATTAGTAAACGATTGCTCGCGTGGCTAAGATAGATAAATGTTCTCCAACAAGGGAAATAGATCCAGCGAGAGAAAAATGCGGTGAAAGCTAGTTTTCCGAGTGCGTTGGCGTTGAAAAAAGTGGAGAAGCTCGAAGAAAGAAGAATTCCAACGAATTTCGAGCCGAGCAGTTTCGTGGCGGCGACGCAGAATACACAGCTCGCGAAAATAGCGAAGGCTGCTTTTAAAAAGCATTGTTAACCTTTTCTTATTCTTCTCGGGTTCGCGTTGTGTTCCCTCGCGTTCGTTTGCGTCGCATTTTACAGCTTTCTGAAAACGCTTCCTCAAAGTCAAAGGAAGAAACGACGCTGTAACTATCGGTGACACTGAAACGAGGAAAAATGGGAAACGCGCGGTTTTCGGTCCCACAACACCGTTTCCCAAACTGCGTTTTTTCGTTACTTTTAGCCTAAGTCGATAATCAAACCGAAAAATCTATTTGAAGGTCGTTTATATAAAGTTTACTAGTATATTTCTTTAAAAATCGTAATTATATAAGCTGCGTTGTTATTTTAATTTTCTTCTAAAAAGTGTACCGCTGTCGAGCAGTAATTGCATCCATTCTTTTTTACTCAAAAATTTACACAGCCACAAAACAAGTATATTGTGAACATATTGTGAGGTGAAAAGTGTTTTGTGGCTGAAAGTGTTTGGGAAACGCTGCTCTAGGGAACAGTGGTGCCACGCTAGCAAGGTTGTTCCCGTGTCAAAGAACTTTTGTCTAATTGCCCAAACGAACTATATTAACCGAATGTTTCTCCCTGAAACTCTCGAGCCGTGAAACGCTTCCAAGCTCGCGGTTATTTAACGAAAACTATCGTCCGCGTTACTCTCGTCTCCATGGGCTCCAGGGCGGAGAAACTGTCCCTCCTCGCTCGTCGCGAAGACGAAGAACTTAATGAGCAAGCGTCGCGGCATTCAACCGATTCAGGGAAACATCTGACTTAATTTTATCCAACATTTCTTCCCGCGGCATACACTCTGCGTCGTTGACGAGGCGCGTCCTTTCACGAATTAAATAAATTTTGCTCTATTTACGTCACGGTCTCTATCAATCCAGCAACCCCAATGCGGTTGAATACCCTCGAACTAGGGCTGGGATTATCTATTTACTCCATTTGTGAAAATTAACAAACTTTGTTAAAAATGTATCAGTTGGAACTCGCTGAGGGTATCGAGAATATTGTATTTAACTTTGTCTTCTATTTTATTTTTTTTTTTTACCATTTCCTCATAATTTAAAAACTTATGTTACTGTTAAGAAGGAAAGAATTAAAATTTAAAAAATTTGGTAAGGTCTACAATATTCACATTTACGTATCGCATAGCTAAATGCTAAATGCTCTAAGGAGACCTCGTCCCAGAGCACGCGATAAACGAATTTCTTCCCTCTCTGTGCTATCATTTTCCGGGCAGTCGGCGAAAAGTGATTTCCCTCCGCGCGCTCGGGAGGAAAAGAGAGGTAGCTGGATGAAAAATAAATATTTGAGGCGCGAACACGCGCGGCTTAAGACACCGCGTACGGGTGCTCGCGCGATGCATTGTTTCACAAGATCGTAGAGAGGCCTTTTTACGCCACCCCGGCTACGCGTTGTTTCCTGCACCCGACTTTTTAAGTACGCTTATTTACCGTGAACCGTCGAACCAATCGGCGCCGCCGCGTCGCGTTCGTAGTCGCGAATGGCTGGGTGGCTGAGATGCTAATAACGACGCGAAAATCGAACCGCCGATAATTCGCATGTCACCTTCGCGTTGAGAATTAAACGAAACGCGCCAGCCGGAGCACGTCTAATTTCGTTCCTCGAGCTAATTCGATTCCTATGAATAGCAGTATCAGAGCTGGGACGGTGTTTCCCAACTGTTCTCGTTGCGTGGGCCAACATTTGGCTTCGTGTTAGGATCTAGTTAGAAACGCGAATAGAATTAATTTTTTTTTTAAAACCGTTGCTCTCAAGGGAAGTCTCTTATTAATACAGCATTGGCAGATACCGCGTAATCATCGTTTTATCTTGAAACGTTAAACCAAGAACGCGTTTTCCCGCAGCCATCTTACTTAATATCTTCTTCTCGAGCACCTTCAGCGTGAAAGAACTTCGTATTCCATACCCTCGGAGAGTCGCCAGGCAATATTTTTCCCCTCGTCGCGAAATGAAATACAGCAACCCCCAGACGCGTACGGAACGATATCGTCGCGTGTAATCGCGGGAAAGAATATCTAGCAGCCAGGTCGCAAAACATCGTAATTCA